CTTCGAATATGATAATGGTTTTCACTTATAATCTTGTTTTTTAATGGAAAAGGGGCTAAGTAGGAGATAAAAATTCACAAAAACGTGCTCCAAGAACAGTGTGTCTCGATATGCCTCAGGTGATCAAGGATGTTGAGCTGGGAAAATATGTAGTTTTGTAGCTTTGAAAGAGGGCTGTCGAATAGTAAAAACTCGAGCTCAATAGCTATTAATATTGTTGAATTATTATCAAAACATCATGGCATATATTCATCATATACCCATGAAGTGGACTCATGATTTTCAGCACATTTGATAAAAGTAAAGAATCAATTTAAAATAACCTATCTAACTCAGTTTTTCATGCTGAAGACGAATTTGAAGTTCATTTTCGTGATTTCCTTAGGAATTCTATATCTTTGTCGGACAGAATTAATGCTGACTAGATAGTACAGGTCACAGTGTGGTCCATGGTAACTTGGCCCCCGAGTTTTTTTTGTCTTGACAAGATCTGTTTCATAAAAAGAGAAGTTTGGGCACGCTTGCACCACTCAAGAAAAGCCGAAAATACTGCTATATGAGAGGGTGGGATTTCTTGAAATTCTAAAGGTTTTTGATCTATAGCGTTTCTTTTATCCCAGATAAGTGGTGGGAAGTTACCATTCCAAGACCGTTACCCGGAAACGGTAACGGTAACGATTACTATGTAAGGAGTTACCAGTTACCTGGGAACGGGTCAACTTAAAAAATAACGTAAATGCAAAATTCTGTTGATGGGAAGTAATAATTCATCTTTTTAGAGAAGTTATCAGTAAAAAGCAACTAATGACGGTAACGGTAACGGTAACTTCCCACCCCTATCCCAGATATGGCTCATCGAAATACGATAAGTTTGTAGCCTATACTGTTTCGTATCTAATGAAGCGTACCCGATCTCAAACGGTGAAACCATTCATCAGAAAATATCAAAATACTGACCACACATAATTTTAGCCACTTTATAGGGTCAATTTTGAACCCCTTAAAGTTCTTTTGGGTGCCACTATAGTTTGAACTTTTTCCTCAGCGACCTCTATGAAGAGTAGGGTGGTCCTCTTGTGGACTCTCTTTTAAGAGACATTACATGAGAAACTCGAGCAACATATGGTTATGAAAACTTTTTTAGACCTGAATGTCTTCTACTCATGAAATTACAGGTATTTTAAGTGAAGCGTCCCTAAAAATACCAAGTTTTCAATGATTTTGACTTTTTGAAGTCAAATTTCACTGCATGAGATCCAGCGAAGTCTTAATAGAAGCGGCGCAAAACTGCACCAACAAATGTATTCGATATTCCTCCAATATTTAGTTTTTGTAAAAAATTTTTAGTCATCCGAAAGAAAACTTGACTTTTTGTGTACTCAGAAAGTGAACACACTCTAGAATCGGTCAGTGGATCCAGCCGGCCGACCATTTACACGAAAACTTTTAAAAGAAGAGGCCAATCAAAATAAAATTTTCTAAATAGTTTATGCTCAACATTATCTCGTTGAAGTTTGAAGATGAGAACGATTGGCTGAGTTATTCCCAAGTTACTGCAAAAATACTGATTTTTTTCCAATGGCTTTCCATAAGAAAATCGACCTATCCGCACTTTCACAAAACACTCTTCTCATCACTGTCGAATAAAACCCCAATTATTATATACCATTCGACAGAGAAATTCAGGATGTACAAAATGGTATATAAAAAGTAAGGACACAAGAAGTTTACTTCACCTATTGTTGCAAAGACAAATAAACCGAAATCGCTTGGATTTTGATGTGCGCTCTAATCGACGCATAAGTAGAACTCCATCTTCTGATTACGAAGACGAGTATTAGAGGTTTTCTTTAACGGAGAGCCCGACTCTGTATTACATGTGCCTTGAGGTTCGATTGGCTGAGCACTGACAGACAGGAATCGATTTATAGGGGAATATCAATGCAAAGAGTCCAAATCTAAGGTGAATTCATTCTGAAATCCTATCGGTGAAGCAATAACCAATAGAAATCAACAATTTAGGGGTTCGGCCTCCCAGCACAATTTTCATGTCCACACTTTCTAGCATGGTTGATTTTTTTGGATACACTTTTTGAACCACACATAAATCTCGGATTTAAATTCGAGGTTTCCACATTTATTCTATACTACCTTCATAAAGATTGAGCTAATAAACTAAGAAGAATTCAGATTCAGATTCTTTGACATCGATTCGTTTCCGTAAACCTTTATAAACTATCGGTATTTTCTTGAAAAACTTTTCTCAAGAAAGTTTGATTGGTTGAGAGACTGATATCAACAACTCACTAAGAAGAGGTTTTTTGACGTTTAACTAGATGGGAAGCACAGAGGCTTTCTTTTGATGTGCTCATCGCTTCATTCTAGAAAATGATGAGTAAAGCAAACTATTGAAGCTTCTCTCTACTATTTTATACAGAAAAGACTTTGCCGCTCATAAGCACAAGCAGTTTTATCATATTTCTTAATTTTCTTCTTGTAAACAAAAGAATTAAAAATCTAGCTTCGTCTATTACGCTATAAAAAAATCAACAAAAAAAATTCTTTAATGTGAATATGTTCTGTCCTGTGGCATAACTTATTCTTTCGTCAAGAAATAATTCTAAAAGCAAATCATTATACAGTTAACTTTTTTTCTTACACTTCGTGTGGTTAAAAAGTTTTGCGATAAACTTGTGTTAATGATAAAACTTTTATTTCAAGTTTTCGAAGTATTGATGAAATTATTGGAATTTCATCAATTAAAATTAATTGTCAAAATACTTCATAGAATAATTTATGCCAGTATATTTGTAAAGGAAACTACTATTTTTTCTGTTGTATTTAATCAGAAAAAATTAATTTATTTATGTTTGCATCTACTATCGATTGCGTCAATGACATGTATTATTTTATTTGTCAAAGAAAATGTAAAGATGTATCTAATGTAAGTTTTCTTTTCCTATGGTTTTCACTTGATTCTATTATTCTATAACAACGTTCAAAAAGACGTGTGCTGTGGCGTTACGCCAGCGAGCAACAAATAATGAAATTTCGACAGATTGCTAATAGACAAAAAAATGTTTTTTTTAGATGGCTGCATTTATCATCATACCAACTATTTTATGCATCTGACTGTAATTACTCGAGTAACTGACAATTGTAGAATATAAGAAGCTTTTGGAGAACGGCGATTATCAGTAGAGACTTGAGTTTCTTTCCAAATAGCTATCATCTGTATTCCTATTGACTCTTTTTCTGGTAACCAAATGTTGAACATCCGACGTGCAATACAGATACTCAGTCGTTTAAATTTCTTCCGTGATATCAAAACAATGGAAGAAGCAGATGAAAGAGTTCTGTACGACCAAATACTGGCAACTCGTGTTTTTTTGATTCTTATGGTAACCAGTATTTTCATCTTGATTGTCTTTACTTCTTCGGTTCCAATAACAACTTCAATGAAGGTTCTAACTCCTTCACAAGCTCAATACGAACATCTTCAAGCTATTTCTTCTGACACATTATGCCCATGTCAACATGTTGCCGTACCATCCGGTAGCTTTCTTACAATTATGCCAACCTTTCATCAGGTGAGAGTTTATGGCTAAATAAATCCTTAGAGATCTATGAGAAGTTGAAATTTCTATTATAACAAGCGAGCTTTTTGGATTTCATGCTGTGTTTCTTAAGATATTTATAGATAAAATAATCTCCTGTTTATTTTAAAAACAACAATGTAGACTTTCTAATAGAATACACAAATAGGAATGCTTAGTTATTGCTCTGCTCTGCTCTACTACCTTTGACTAATTGTCTTTAACTATTCGATAAGAATGTATAACCATCCCTTACCTCATTTTAGAGGATTACATATCCATGTTCATGGCATTCTTTAAAAGAATAATAGATAAATTATTAAATGTAATTATTGTTTGTGACTTTGATGTGAAAATTTCTAGTTCCTACTTCTATGACCAATCATTGTCAGTTCATGAAAGAACTCTGCTATGTTAGCAGTAATTGAAAGGAAAAGCAGATAATTTCAAATCAATATTTTCCATACTAAGATGAGTTTATATCTGGTTTATTAAAAAATGAACTGATGATGTTTTAGAATATTGAAGACTCATGTTATCAGATGTTTTTCCCAAATCTGAGAAGATGATTATTCAGAGTGAAAAGTGTTCGCTAGTTTGTTCGCGTTCTACAACATACAACTGATGACACCCATCTTAGCTATAGGCATCAAACGAAATGGAAATTTAGTTAAAAAAATGCACTGTGTAGATAGTTTTAAGCAGAGAAAAGAAATTAATCTGAACTTTCATTGTGTATATTGTATATATATTCCACAGATGTGTTAACAGTCGAAAGAGATCGATCTGTTCAGTTAGAGAGTGTAGATACCGTATAAATTGTCTCTGATATGATCTAGGATCAATATCAATAATTTTTTTTCTATTTCATTATCAGTAGTTACAGTAAAACTTTCAACGTAAATAAATCTACCTTTAGTTGATTCATGAATTATTGTCGTCTCTCCAATAGAAGTCACATTTCACAACCTACTTAGATAGCATTCCATTCGAATATGTGCGCTATCGTAACTTTCTGGCTTGATAATTGCATTTCGGACTGCTTATTTATGATCTAACCTGTGCAGAATTTCCTGAAACTGTAGCTACTGGGAAAATACAGATTAAAATGAATCCACTCTTGAAAAGCGACACTTCTATGTAAGTATTCGGAGAGACCCAATCAAACCATGCCTTCTAGCATGAGAACATCTTCATAAGAACTCTCCTTATATACAGAATACAGTCAAACCTTGATTACTTTACATTCTTTCATTGTTTTTTTTTTATCAGGTGTGTTCCAGTGGGTTGGTATCATCAGAGTGGATAGCATCTCTGTTCAATGAAGAAACGACATATTTCACGCCACTCGACTTTCGTCTAACTGCCGCAGCTCAATTTCGTGCACTGTCGTACTTATGTTCCATGTCAAAAATCAGTATAGAAAATCTTCAGATTGGATTTGCTATGGAAGAACTTGTCAATGCTCGAGTTTTGTCACGTACTTCATTCAATGAACAAACGAATGTTCTCGTAGAAAAATTTTATGCTGCTATGAATATGCAATTGACACCAAAATTTGGCAGTGAAATTCTTATGAGAATCATCAGTACGAATCGTATTTACTCTGCTCTTCATACGAATGGATTCCAAACAAGTATGCCAGGATCTGATGAGTACAACATCGTTCCCAATTTTTACCCACTACATGACAATATCACCTTTGATAGTGTAAGTTTTTAGTCAGCCATTTGTATAGAGAGGACTTTATTGATGAGATTTCTATAGTGAATCGGGGCTAAGACATGAATGACTTCATCAGGCTATCCAACATGATTATTTTCACCCAGTTCATCGAGAAATACTGGCAATTGAAAATTTACTTTTGGATAAAAAACTCAAAATATGACTTTCAAATGTGAATGCATCTCACACACTTTCATTCGCAGAATATTATTAGATTTCCAGAGTTTAATAATACATTTTCTTCTTCTCAGTATTTGAAGAAAAGTTAGATAGCTAACGAATACCGATTATCGTTAAGGATTTTAATGTTGAATTCAATGCATCAAAAGTATCTGACGATTCTGTATGGTGATTTTTCAAAAGAAAACTCGATCTTTCTACAAATTCAAATGTCATTTTCGACGTCTAGAATAAAAATTTTATGATTCTAACTGCTTTGAGACATTTATTGTTTAATTTAATGATAAATATTTTATAGAGTTGGAGTTTACTTCGATTTTGGAAAGCAACAGATACGTATTTTTTTACAAACTAGACGACAGAACACCATAATATACTCTAGGACAACAGAAAGGAGAATACGAAAGAAAATATGTATGTCGCTTTGATATTTATTCAGATATATTGATAAGAGAAGGCAAACTAAAGAAATCAATCAGATTCTGTTTAACAATAGATAAAAATATGAAGAGAAGTTCATTTTAATATTGTTAATTTTAAATTAAAATCTAGAATTCAACAAAAGACTTTGGCTACTGTGACAAGAGTAGTACGATTATGTATAAAGCAGGTATTTACTCATGGGGTGCCGAGTCACGATCCATAATACGCCGGATGACTCCTCAGCCACCACCGATCTTTGTCATTCCTGGAATGCGAGTCGCCTGTATGCCATATACTGCCTTAGTAGCGGCAACACTCGAATGTTTTTTCGATCCTGTATGTTTGAATGCCACAGCACAGCAAATATCGATTCTTCCACCAACTATCTGGCCTGAAGCACTGAATAGTTCAATTCCATCACGATTCTCAAGAACCAGTTCAATTTCTTCTCTTTTAGAAGCACAAATGGTTGAAACATGGGAGACTCAAATTAGTTTTTCTAATTATTACAATGCTTGTTCACCAACTGAATGTACTTATACACGTACAAATCGTGGTAATGTTATCTATGTAATCACGACACTACTGGGGCTATTCGGTGGTTTGCTCGTAGCTCTACGTATTATATCACCACTGAGTATTCAATTTTTACGTTACATACAAGAGAATTATTTAAAAACCAAACGAAGAATTCCTGTGCAACAACCAAAACTAGGTATTCGAATCAGAATTCGCTAGGACATATATTCTTTCCAGACTATTTCTGTAAATCCATTTACTACGATTCTTTTCCTGTCGTCTCTTCTCTCAGAAAAATTAACAAAGAAGTTTGTAGTTATTGAGTTCCTGATACTATTCATGTGAACTCAGGATATTCACCAATTCTCCATCCAACATATAATTATTTTTTCTACAATTTTAGACGACAATCAACGCATATCATGAAGATTTCCAATCAAATTTTGTCTGTTTTTTAGGATGGTTTACAGGGATGAAGCGTTTGTTAAGATTGGGAAAGACAAAAATTATTTCTTTCAATCTATTCGAGGCAAGTGAATATTTTCTAGCCTAAATCCATACTTCAATTATACTCTTGAAAATCAAAACATAGTGAATTCCCGACAGTAACTTATATGAACGTGTCATTGTGTAATATGTCCAGAAATTTGTTGAAAACTAGGTAGATTTTTGGATTCAATGATTCTTCAAAGAACTACTGTTCACGTAAAACCCACAGTCACTAGAAAATCAGGCTTTCAAATTTTTCACATATTGGTGTACATAAAAACTCGAGACAAAATGTAATGATAATCAATGATTGTCCTGCATTTGTGTATACTGTTCAAAATCTGCCTGAATTATCACAAAGATCTTGTGTTTTAACTATCTTCAATTCTGTGGAAGTTTTTCTAGATGATGTGGTTTTGAAATGATAAACAATATTTATTTGATGTACTTTTAGTAAATGAAGAGTATTGAAAGTTCTAATGAAAATATTCCGGCAACAAAAAAATAGAATGGTTTCTAATTATTTGCTTATAATACAAGGTGTCTGCTTGGTTGTACGTTCAAGAGCCATTGTTCAATTGATTTCTAAGGACAGCATTAAAAAATTTCGTACAATCCAAATGTAATATAACAATGTTCTTTTTAAAAAGTAAAATGGGATATTAATATTCGTTCGATTGATATTCTCCTTAGATTTTCTCGCACTTTTCTACAGTCTGTCATATACAAACATTTACCTCTAAGTGTGTTATGATGCTTACATAGATATATTTGATTAATCTACATCTGAATGAAACCTATATTCGTATTTAAAATAGCAAGGATAGTTAGATTACCGGGAGTAAATTCATAGAAATTCTCTGATTAGAATCATTGGAAATCAATTTCCTTATAACATGAAAATGGAATTAAGATTCGTTTTTAAGTATGTTCCATATGAACATGTTTCTTTGCGGTTCGATATACTTGAAACGTGCAAAGAGATAAAAGATATTCTCCCTTCCTTTCAAACTAGTCTTAAAGATCGCGCGTGTTTTCTAATAAATAATAATACAGATGAACTGAATGAAAAACCATAACGTATTATTAACAAGACATTTTTTTTCTAGGATACATTCGATGATGAACGCTTCGGTATTCCTTTCACACGTGTTTATTTGATTCTGCTTGTGACTAGTATTACCATATTGACATTCTATTCGTTATTAACAGTACACAATGTTGCTATCACTGTCAAGAAGCCATCGCTAGGCATTTTTGAACACTTATATAACGGCTATCCATTATCATTATCGTGTCCATGTTCTCAAGTAGCTATACCACACGGCAAAATGGTTATGATATCACCCATACGATATCATCAGGTAAGAATCACGTTATAACTAGAAAACCAAGATACTTGTATACCTTCATATTGAGAACATTAACTCTTCATGCAATTGCGACAAATCTTTTAGAACTGAGCTTTTATTCATATCTAATGAAGGGTCACATTACATATATTTAGTGATCACTTCTATGTTTATTAGCACAATACTCATGAGTATGTTAAAAAAAAACAGAAATGCATTTTTTTATTTCAACATATAAAGAGCAATGAACTTTCTCTCAATAGTGTAGTTCATTCACAAAACAAAAAAAAAGAAAGAAAAATGTTCGGATTTTTTATGCTTTTGTTGAACTTTAAAACGTTTATTCGCAAAAATTATTTTAGATCTGAAGAAAATGTTAATTTCTATTGTTTATATTGAATAATTAGACTTGTACAGGCATTTTCGTGCAACCATCATGGATCGATGGCTACGCCACAATGAATTTTCGAAATGCGTCAAAGAAACGTGTCTTACCCGACTCGGATTTTCGGGTTGCCGGCATTTATGAACTCAGTAATTATGGAAACTTCTGCCAAATATCAGCTGCTATTATAGAAAATGCTCGAAATGTTTTTGTTCGAGATCAATTTATTAGCGCTGAAATACTTTCACGTAAGCAACCAGAGAAAAACAATTTATTTAGTCCTCTATGATATGATACGACTTAAATACTCAAGACAATTCTAATACTATTAAAAGTTGATGGAAATTTGATTCAACAAATTCTCAAGGTCTATTTCATAGTTAGTCAAATGTTCAAATGATTAGTAATTGTTTTCATCGTTATAAAGCCACTGATACAGGATAAAATGTATTGGTAGTGTCTGTTTATACTTAAGAGATAAGATCATTAACAAATTGATGATGAGTAATTCCAGTAAAGTTCGAAACGTATTACTTCGATTAACGGCATCAATAAGAAGCTGTTCACGCATTCTCCGGAAAAATTAAAAACTTGCAACACGCTGTAGCTGCAGCGTGTCTTTTATGCATATTGAGATATATTTCTTTATTATGATTTGATTTAAAATAGCTTGCCCAGAACAATATTCCATGGTGAGGAGGAAATGAATTTCAATCTCTATGCACTTCAACACTCTTTCTAGATCGCGTTTCGCGAAAATGTATTAAACCTTCATTATTTCTGGACATTTTAGAAATAAGTCAAAAATGAATATTTGTCCGCGGTAAAAGTCTTAATGAATTCGTACATGAAATATGATTTAGTTAATGAAACTGAAAATTCTGAAAAGTATATATCATTATGAGTTTTACTTTAAATAAAATTTTCAATCCAAAATGTTGAACTCCGAAGTCCAATTATAGAATTGAATGTATATTTATCCTGTCAAGGTGAAGTCTATTTCATTGAATTCTGTTTCTGCCTATCATTACCAATAACGATATATTTATAAAATCTACTACTACTTAGATGCCATTAAAGCAACGACGTTTTCTAACATAATAGACATATCCATACCGGTTTGTAATGATACCCTCATCCCAGTTCTGATGGCACGTCAGTTTTTTTCTGCTTTGATGCTCAAACTGGGCATCCCTAGATTCCATTAAAGTAAGTTCGTAGAAAACAAACATTTCTAATAAAAGCAGAAGATGATTGCTCAAGCTTTGATTAACACTTATATTTATAATTGGGCGGGGAGCTTTATACAGTCTAAATATCAACTGACGATTTCTAGTATGGGCGATGAATACTGTATTATTATTTGTAGGAAATGAATTTAAAGCACGTACTGATTCACTAATCAATTCGTTTAAGACACGTACGGCGAACGATTTCATGTTGGTTGCGTCAATAACGCGACTCGCACTGTTAGCCAGTGGGACTCTAAATAATCTAACCTACCAATCTTTTTTTGTTAATGGTTCCTGGGTGCCTATTCGTCACTCACCTGCTCCACCCACCCTGCATACATGCGCTTGCAGCGTAGCCTTCGAGTGTCCGAGCGTTTTTGGTCAGTTTTTATGCATTGAGGGAAATAACTGTACCAAAGGAACTTTTCTTTGGTCTGTACCTGGTTATGTGAGAGGATGCACTCGTCTTGATGATATGTTTTTAAGTGACAAACACTGCTTCTACAACCAAACATGCGTTGATAAGATCTTGTCGATGTATAATGTTGACATGCCGGATCGACTTCCATTGCCACCAGCAATACTTGCATCTCTTGCACTTAACAATTCAGTTTCATCACACTTTTTACCAACGGACAATCTCGAGACTATCTTTAGTCAGCTCATGATGGAAGAATGGAATATTCAAGGACACTTTGAGGGCTACTTTGATACATGTGCGCCTGTCACCTGCACGTACATATCAATTCAACAATTAAATATCATTAGTGCGATTACGAATATTATTGGCCTTTTTGGGGGACTTGTCGTTTCTCTGCGTCTGCTCATTCTGATGATTGCTCATTTGAAGTATTTAGCAACATATTACTGGGGCAATCGATATAGAAATACAATACAACATGGTCTAGCCATAGGCACAAGTATGAAAATATCTGTAGAAAGTTTCTAATTTCTGAACCTTTTCAACAAATATTTCATTCAATGTTATGCATGATTTATGAATCAATGCTAATCAGAGTAACAATACAGATTATTTTCAGTATGACGAAATCACCATATCGAATACCATCAGTCTCTCCTATAAAAGTAATCTAAAGAACGTATTATCCACTTTGTTAAAGGTATGGCCGGATTTAGAAGAGAGTCATCTATACTGTTTACGAAGAGCTCCGAAACATGTAAGTCTATAAATGCAAACTAGTACCACTCGAAATCAATTAATCATTTTAAGCTTCGCTTGTTTATATAATTTTGGTATAGACAAATATTTTCTGAATTTTCAAAACATTTTTAAGAAGTATTGAATTCTTGTGTTCTAGAGAAATAAGTGTTTGACGAACTTTGAATTCTATCAATTGCTCTTGTAAAAATAATGATGTCCATCATAATAGAAAATATTGGTACTCACCATGATCATCTCAGTTCAGAAATGCTAGCAAAAACAGAAAATGTCATTATGTTGAGTCAATACTTCAAAGATAACTATCGCAAAAACTCGAGACAAGTTAAAAGAATTCGGCAGTATGAGAATTCTGAAGCAAATTTTTAGAATTCCTTGATATTCAAGCGTTGGAAGCCGAATTCGCTACCAATAGATCCTATCCTTTGGATGCATAACGCTACAGTAAAAGAAAAGTATTTCTATGAAAAAATTACTATTGAGATGGTGATGATCATTGAAAGAAATATTTTCTAGAAAAAAAGCTTTCGATGAGGAGGCATGTGCATGAACTGGATTATCAATTAATATTTCACACGTGT